ATATTAATAGTAGATATTATANNTTGATGGTTTTCAACCACGGTTTTATATCAATTGACTGTAAACAAGGTAAATATAATATAGTGAGTACAGCATATAATAATATTAATAGTAGATATTATATTTATGGTTGTCAACCAGGTTTTATATCAATTGACTGTACACAAGGTAAATAAAATATAGTGAGTACAGTTTATAATAATATTAATAGTAGATATTATATTGATAGTGTCAACCAGGTTTTATATCAATTGACTGTACACAAGGTAAATATAATATAGTGAGTACAGTATATAATAATATTAATAGTAGATATTATATTGATGGTTGTCAACCAGGTTTTATATCAATTGACTGTACACAAGGTAAATATAATGTAGTGAGTACAGTATATAATAATATTAATTGTAGATATTATATTGATGGTTGTCAACCAGGTTTTATATCAATTGACTGTACACAAGGTAAATATAATATAGTATGTACAGTATATAATAATATTAATGGTAGATATTATATTGATGGTGTCAACCAGGTTTTATATCAATTGACTGTACACAAGGTAAATATAATATAGTGAGTACAGTATATAATAATATTAATAGTAGATATTATATTGATGGTTGTCAACCAGGTTTTATATCAATTGACTGTACACAAGGTAAATATAATATAGTGAGTACAGTATATAATAATATTAATAGTAGATATTATATTGATGGTTGTCAACCAGGTTTTATATCAATTGACTGTACACAAGGTAAATATAATATAGTGAGTACAGTATATATTAATATGAATGGTTGATATTATATTGATGGTTGTCAACCAGGTTTTATATCAATTGACTGTACACAAGGTAAATATAATATAGTGAGTACAGTATATAATAATATTAATGGTAGATATTATATTGATGGTTGTCAACCAGGTTTTATATCAATTGACTGTACACAAGGTAAATAAAATATAGTGAGTACAGTTTATAATAATATTAATAGTAGATATTATATTGATGGTTTTCAACCAGGTTTTATATCAATTGACTGTACACAAGGTAAATAAAATATAGTGAGTACAGTTTATAATAATATTAATAGTAGATATTATATTGATGGTTTTCAACCAGGTTTTATATCAATTGACTGTACACAAGGTAAATAAAATATAGTGAGTACAGTTTATAATAATATTAATAGTAGATATTATATTGATGGTTTTCAACCAGGTTTTATATCAATTGAC